CTGGAACAAAAAATCCTAAAATCAGTATGGAACCAGAAAAGACCCCAAATTACCAAGGGAAAGTTGAAAAAGAAAAAGCTAGGGGCATCACGTTGCCTGATTTCAAGCTATATTACAAAGCTGTGATCACCAAGACAGCGTGGTACTGGCACAAAAGCAGACGCATAGACCAATGGAACAGAATAGAGAGCCCAGATATGGACCCTCAACTCTATGGTCAAATAATCTTCAACAAAGCAGGAAAAAATGCCCAGTGTTAAAAAGACCATGTCTTCAGTGAATGGTGCTAGGAAAATTGGACAACTATATACAGAAGAATGAAATTCGACCATTCTTTTACACCATACACAAGGATAAACTCAAAATGGATGGAAGAGCTCAATGTGACACAGGAATCAATCAAAATCCTAGAGAAGAACATTGGCAGTAACCTCTTGGACATCAGCCACAGCAACTTCCTTCAAGACACATTGCCAAAGGCAAGGGAAACAAAAGCAAACATGAACATTAGGACTTCATCAAGATAAAAAGCTTTTGCACAGCAAAGGAAACAGTCAACAAAACAAAGAGGCACCCCATGGAATGGGAGAAGATATTTGCAAATGACACTACAGACAAAGGGCTGGTATCCAAGATCTATAAGGAACTTCTTAGAGCCAACCAAAAAATAATCAAGTAAAAAAAAAGAAAAAAGGGCAGAAGACATGAACAGACACTTCTCCAAAGAAAACATACAAATGGCTAAAAGCCACATGAAAAAATGTTCATCATCATTAGCCAGGGAAATTAAAACCACATTGAGATACCACCTTACACCAGTTAGAATTCCAAAAACTGACAAGGCAAGTAACAACAGACATTGGAGAGGTTGTGGAAAAAGGGGAACCCTTTCCCACAACTTGCACTGTGGGAATGCAAGTTGTTGCAACCTCTTTGGAAAACAGTGTGGAGGTTCCTCAAAAAATTAAAAATTGAGCTACCCTATGACCCAGCAATTACATTACTGGGTATTTACCCCAAATATACAGAAAAGAAGGGCCATATGCTCCCCAATGTTCATAACAGCAATGTCCACAATAGCCAAACTGTGGAAAGAGACAAGACGCCCTTCAACAAATGAATAGATAAAGAAGATGCGGTTAATATATACAATGAAATATTACTCAGCCATTAGAAAGGATGAATACCCAACTTTTCCATCAACATGGGTGGGACAGGAGGAGATTATGCTAAGTGAAATAAGTCAAGCCGAGAAAGTTATCATATGGTTTCACTTATTTGTGGAAATAAGGAGTAGCATAGAGGACATTAGGAGAAGGAAGGGCAAAATGAAGTTGGGGGGGATCAGAGGGGCAGATGAACCATGAGAAATTATGAACTCTGAGAAACAAACTGAGGGTTTGAGAGAGGAGGGGGTGCGGAGATCAGTGAGCCCTGGTTGATGGGTATTAAGGAGGGCATGTATTACATGGAGCACTGGGTATTATTCCTAAACAATGAAGCATGGAACACTACATCAAAAACTAATGGTGTACTGTATGGTGACTAACATAACATAATATACATCTAATAAATAAATAAATAAATAATTATAAATAAATAAAATTACTTAGATATATACCATAAAAAAAAAGAAAGAAAGAAAGAAAGAAAAAAGAAACTACTCTTTGCAACTTCTGGTGTAGTACCAAAAGGTAAAATGTACAACTATCCAGAAAAAGAATACTTTTTTCTCCTCCCAACTATATATCTGTGTGAGCCCAGATTTTCATTATATACTTTAACCAAATAACATATTGGCAAATTGGAATTAGGAGCTTTATCAGTCAGGGTTTTGTCTACTATCTGAAAGCTAGAGAACCAGGGACGTGGGTAGTATAATCCAGTTTGAGTCTGAAAGCCTGAGAACAAGGAGTTCCTATGGTACAAGTCCCAGTCCAACATCTGAAGGGAGAAGATGGATATCCCAGCTCAAGCAAAAGGAACAACTTCACCCTTCCTCTTCTTTTTGTTCTATTCAGTCTCAAGGGATTGGATTGGGTGATGCCCAGTTGAATGCGGTGAGGGTGGATCTTCTTTACGCAGTCTACTGATGTAAATGTTAATCTTTTTCAGAAAAACCCTCAGAAACACATTGGAGATAATGTTTTACCACATATTTCTTAGCCTAGTCTACACATAAAATAACCCATCAAAGAAGCAGGTATGAAAACCCGTCTCTCATTAAGCCACATGGATTTAAAAAAAAAAAAAAAGTAAAAAAAAAAAATACTATTCTCACCAAATTCTGTTTTGTAAATTAGTTATTTTGTTTCATAAAAGTTATTTATGTCAACACTTAATGGGGTTTATTATTTTTTAAAATGGATTAAGATTTTAAAGTCTGTTTTAATTTATAATACGGAAATACTAAGATATAACCCCTATGATAAAAAGAACTACAGGATTTTCAGTAATTTTTAAGAGTGGGGTCCTGATCCTTATCTTACACTTCTCACAAAAATTAACTCAAAATAGTAGAGACTTAGATGTAAGACCTGAAACTGTAACAAGACTCCTAGAAGAAAATAGGGAAAGAGCTCATTGACATTGATTGTGGCAATTATTTCTCAGATGAAACATCAAAAGCACAGGCAACACAGGCTAAAATGAACATATTCTCCTTATCTGGAAATTTCGTTTTGCCCTTTGGGGCTCCAGTCTTCCTACTGATAATTTTCATGACCTCTCAGGTTTCCTTCTCAGAAATTCTACATGGTCTATTATGACAATAAGAGCTGTATGAACTCTGAACAAGACGGGGGTAAGACAAGATGGAGTGATTGGGAGGTTGTCTGGAATGATAAGAATGGATCTGAAAAATCAAGTTTGATGGATGGAAAGAAAAGTGACATTCTTTTTAGTGAAACACAAAGTCATAATAATGAGAATTTTTTAGAAGAATGTGTGAGTAAAAATGAGAAGCTCTATCTGACTACAGCAAAGAGTTCACATAAAAGACCAGGGATAATTACCACAAGTGATGAAACAGGATGATCGGCAGTTTGAGACTTAGTGCTTGGGACTCCATCTAATTGCCAAACATGTTCTCCCAAACTGCTGTGTGAACCAGCAGACAAAGGCAAACACATTTAAATAAACATCCATTTACATTTTAATATCTGTATGTTTTGATAGTTGTGTATGTATTTTAATGAGTAAATTTAATTTCTATTAGTAACAAATATACCCAACTAGTTACAAAGATATAATTACAGTGATATAAAATTCTTCTATAAATATATTTACTTCTGGAATACTGAATCAATTTTTAAATGCCTCAAGTAAATAATAGTACATGTGAACAGCAGATATCTAATTAAACAATCTTGATTAGAAAACTCTTCTTATTTGAGAGGTCAAACATGATCAGAATAAATTTAGATCTTTTGTGTACTGGAAACCTAAAACTTACACTAGCAGGAATCAAGCAACTACCAAACAAAAAGTCCTAACAGATAACATAATTGTCACTGTATTGTCTCCTTGCCAGTTATATTTCTGTGACAAATTCCTGATCATTGACATTTTTTTTTAACCCCCATATGCCAGAGATTGGGGACACTCACCTCTCTTTTCATCTTTTAAAAAATTTGCTACAAATTAGTATTCCACTAATCTAGTTCTGAAATGATTTACTCTCATCCATAGTATATTCAGCTTAAAAAAGGCATTTTAAATGCTTACCCAAGGGTGAGCTGAATATAGATTTGGGAAACTTGGCTTCTCATTTTAGTTGCATTGCTTTGGGCAAATTATCTGGGCGTCTGTATTCTTTGGTGATAATTGTGATTCCTTATAATTCTAAAATGTATAAAAAAGGTAAAATGCGCTAGACACAATACCAGGTGTTCTACATGCCATCTCATTTAGTTAATGATCCTAACTGTAGATACAGATAGAACCATTTTAGAAGTAAGATGGCTGATGCTCAAGGAAGGTAAGTTCCACATATGCTCAGATATGAAACTATCCCTTAAAAAAGGAATAGCCTTATGGTTGAGTTCTGCAGTTGTGCTCAAAATTTGGAGTAATCTCTCAAATTTCCTTATTTTTCACAAGAAAATGGCATATGAGGAAGACACCCTAGTTTAAAAAACCTCAGTCACAGCTAGTGTTAAACATTTATAGAGATAAAATTGTGCAGAAAAACACTTAATGCCAAGAAATTTATCTTAGATTTAATAATGATTCCAAATAATGGGGATGAGTACAAACAAAACTTCTGAAAATCACTTAGAAAACCAATACAGTAAATCATTAGGATCCCAGTTATTCCTACAAAAGTAATAGAATCAAAAATCAATTGTGCCAAAGCTTTGCAAATAAAACTTGAGACTTGAAGTAAAACTTCCACTGGCTGCATTTTTCAGAAATGTTGAAAGTGCCGTGTCTCAATCAAATCTGGAAAACAGTATTTAATGACCTAATAAATACTTCTTTTTATAAGATACTGATGTCAAAGATGATTATGAAGAATTAAGATACGTTTTTATAAAATATGAGAAAAGAATAAGTACATTATTTTATTTAATAATTCTTTTTGAATCTATTACTAAATTTAGAATTAAATGTTAAAGCAAATGTGTAATTTACTTTACAAACTTAAAACTTCTTTTGGATACTCTCATTTGGAACTTGGAAAGTCCTATGTATTTGATCAATTATAGATACTCATCCAAAGATACATGACTAGGAAACTAAAGAAGGGATTCAAGCATATTTGTGTTGGAATTCAAAGCACATTCTGTATTCAATAAATCATATTAAAATTTTGTATACCTTCTTCTGAATAGTAGGACATTTCAAAGGAGAATAATGGTTACTGAGGTACTTGAGACAGTCTTAATGATAGATGCAAGATTGAACAGAGTATTAAAGGATAACTAGAATTTTTATTGACAGAAAAAGCATTGTAGTCACAGTAAGTATCAAACATTGTCATTCCATCCTGCTTTGGTTGACTAATAGTAATATTATTTTCACTATTACCAAAGATACCTTATATTTATTGAGAGTTTATAGTCAAGCACCATGCAGAGCATATTGGAAAATATCTCATTCAATTCATATAACATTCCTGAGGATTGCTGTTGTTCTCATTCTAACAAAGAGAAAATTGAGGCTAAGGGGGGATTAAGTAATTTGACTGATAGCATAAAGAAAATAGCAGAACAACGGTTCATACTCAAGTCTATCTAAATCCATTACCTGAGTTCATAAACCATACTGCTCTGTTGCCTTAATCTTTAATTCTATTTTAAGGTTAAATAATCTCTAGAGAGAGAGATTAGTGAAGATGGGAATTGGCAAGGAAGGCTCTATGTGGGGACTATATATTGAGTTTGGCTTTAAGAGACTTAGATATACACTGTACAATTTAGATACGCAAAAAGGGTCTGGGAAGATATGATAAGGTGAAATAGGAGTTTATAACTATGGATGTATTGTGTATGTACAACTCCATTCATCCTAATTGAATAGTGAACAAGGAAAATATGGCTTTGCCAGTGTTAATTCTTTGAAATGTTCTTTCCTGGAAAGTTTTCCTTGAACAACTAAGAGTACATGGATGTTGAGTTATGATTGATCAATTTTTCAAGGAACAAATATCCTTAATATATTACCCAAAAGGGAATAATAAATGACCTTGCCAGAACTGAATTGCCACCTTCTATTGGATGTGAAGATATGACATTTTTGTCTCTGTCCATTAAATGTTCACACATAAAGTATTCTTAATGTGAAGTCAGCATTGATAATACAGTGTCACGTGTTCTGTGAGACTTGCCTGATATTTGAGAAAACCTAGGGAAGAACTATTGAGTGCTCTCTTCTCTCTCTTCGGACCCACTCTTCTCCTCACAGTTGCCTATGGAAGGCTTTAGGCAGAACTAAATAGTGCTTGATGTAACTCTGAACACATACATTTCAATGAAGGCCTCACTCAAGCTGTGTACTCCATCATCCTTTCTGTTCAGCCCCTGCAAAATTAAAAAAAAAAAAAAACTAAACTAAAAAGTCAACATTTTTACTTCAACTAGAATAAATTTTGTCACTTGAGTTGAGTAAGTCATATAATTTTGTTACTCTTGAAGTTGGCATTCAGGAGTGCATTTAAGATTGCATGGGCCAACTATAATTTGGATCAATTAATGTAAAAAGCCTATTTCCTTCTACTTATTTTGATATTCCATCATTGCTGCTCCTATTCTTTTCCTCCTAGAAATTTTCTTGCCCTAATTTCTCCCTCACCACTGTCTGCCAGTCCATTTCTGCCCATTCGTCAATGTCCAGTTCAGGCTCCGTTTCATTCATGAAGCCTCCCCTAGCCACTCCAGCCCTCACTAATCTTCACATTCCTCTTAATTTCTTGGGCATTTTGAGTGACATGTATACATGTCACACAATTAATTCCATTTACAGTGTTAGAATCTGCGGAGGCATTTATATAGTAAAGCACTAATATTTAGAACCAAAGGAATGACACTTAAACACATTCCAAATACTAGAATCTATAGTCTTTGTAAGTGTGAGTTTAGTTCCTGGAATAATCTGGCTGTTGCCCTAGTTGGTGATTGATCATGTATGACTGACTGTATGTACTGGTGACTGCCCTGTTTCTCACCTTCTTTCTGTCTTTGGCTCCTGAGAATCATTCACTTTCATGGCTTCCTAGAAATAATCTTCCTTAATCTGTGTCTGTACTTTTCCCCAGGAGTACAGAGAAAATTCCACTTCCCCTAAGCCCTACATGTAAGGCTGTCCATCTTATAACTGAAGCATTTAGATTCTCTGGGAGGTCATATTGTGCTTACGCTTAAAAGCAAAATTGCTAGACCTTATCTACTTTTTAGTTTCCTTGACTCACCCTATGAGCATTGATCTCCAGAAATCTCATTCTTAGAACACTCATTTTATAGCTTGTATGTTGTTTTGTATGCTCTTGGTTTTTTTAAATCTGAGCTGTCTTACATTTATACAATACTATTGTCTTATATACATGTATCCTCTATCTACCTACCTATTAATCATCTTGCTAGCCAGGCAGCAAATATATGCAGGAGTAAGAATTTATATAGGATAAATAACCTACGTTGATAAGATGGGTCATCTTGCCTCTTCTTTGATGTAACAATTTAGTTCAAGTAAGCTGAGTACCACATCATGTTCCACTTGTAACTGGGAGCATATCAGGTGCTTAGAAAGTTTGTAGTCAATAATACGTGAGCAGTAATTCTTGTTAATGCTACGAATAATCTATAAGAGCAAGAGACAACTTTTGAACAGCCCAACTAATGTCTGTTGAATCGATGGTTAAAATGGTTTTCTTCTAGACTTCTAGGGCTGATCCAATACTTGGCATCCAGATAAAATCAATAATGAACATATAGAGAAACTGCATGTTTTGCTTATATTTTCAAAGATAGTGAACAGCTAATGCTGTACTGAAAAAAGAAGCTTTACTGAAAAAATATACTTTGTATTTGCAAAGTGTTATGTTTATTTTATTCACAATTATGAGAAATATACAAGAAAAGAACAATATAAAGAGGAAAATTACTTATTGCTCCAAAACCAAAAGTCAAACAGCGGAAGTCTGTCATTTCTAGCTTGGTCCTATCGGACCCTTATTTAAGCTCTACCTGAATGGTTTCATTTAAGTTTACATAGCTCTCCTTGTCCTTGCTTTTCCTATAGGATGTGTGTTAGCAAGTATGCAAATAACTGAGAAGCAAAGAGCAGAAGAGAGGAGTCAAGAGAACAGAAATCCCTCCCACATCAGAATAAGCTCATATGCACTAGTACATTTTTATACACAACTATCAATATTTATCAATAACCCAGCTCAATTCTACCAGTCTTCTGCCTGAAAATCATAAGGAATATAGTGACAGATGTGTGGAGCACAGACCTGACCTTCAGAATAGCTGCCATCAAAGCTCTCAGGGAGCGATCCAAGAGGCTGCTATGGGCGGGTGGCCAGGCAGAGTAAACAAAAGGAAGGGTTCACAGCTCCAAGGCTTTCTCCCTGTTGCTTTCAGTGGAGAGAAGGCACGAATTCCCATCTGTCCTTCTCAGTATTATGAAGAAAAACATTCACGAGAGATGATGCTTCTGATCCAAGAGCATAGATATTTAAGCAGCGTTTTAAGTAAGAAAAAGAAACAGATTTGTGTTCTTTTAGAATGTAGAAACTGGAAGGTGGAACAAGAAATTATAATTTATAGAGTTTATGTTTATTATTCCCCACATACCAGAATGCATAAAATCAGAGAAATTTCAGAAATCAACTAAGTTTTCCCTTTTTCTCAGAGCAGACATTCATTTCTTTTTATATTTATTCATTTTCTATTTGGTTTTTGTGGTTTGAAAGCACTTTCACAGATTTAAGTAAGTGGTAGGGTATGGTGCTTGGATTTTCACTGCAGGACAGCCATTCATGAGATGATACTTTTGATCAAGATATTTATCATCTTTGTGCCTCAGTTTCTTCCCATGTAAAATAAGGATGAAAATCGTTATACCTACAGTTGTGAGAATCAAAGGATTTATATAGGTAAGGCATTTTAGAACATAACACCTGCCTGATCCTAAGTGCTCAATAATTATTGGCTATTTTTAAGTTTCATAACATAGGTAAATCATCTACTCTCCCTATTTCATAGATAAAGGATCCACAGATATTATCACTTTTAAAGATTTATTTATTTATTTAGAGTTTGCAAGTGAGGATAAGGGTAAAGGGAGAGGGACCCAGAAAGTCCTCAGCCAGACTCTCTGTTCAGAGCCCAAAGCAGGACCTGAGATCATGACCTGAGACAAAATCAAGAGTCAGCAGCTCAACTGAGCCACCCAGGCACCCCAAGAATGGACATATATTATTAACCAACCTGCTTAAGTTAAAGAATAGTCAATGGGAAAGTCAGAGATGCCCTTTGGACAATATTACCTTTGGGTTTACATAGGCATTAAATAATGATTTCATTTACAGACTATTTTCAAATCATATTGACTTCTTTTACAGAACCTCTATTCCTCTTATTTTTTCATTAATTCTTTTGTGTATTTTTATTTATTAAACAGATTATAAAGTCTGTAGGTTGATAATAGTATTTGCATGTCTTCTGCATCTTTCTCAGCTCCTGATATAATACTATGAAAGAAAAACTTCATTAGATACTTGTTAAAAATGGAAAGGAAGACTGTATCTCAGACCACTGCAGTAGGGGCCAAGACGTTGCAATAAGGCAGAGGCACTGAACTTAATTCCCTGGAAACAAAAGGTGGGAGGGTTTTTAAACATAGGGGTAAGGTAATAGGAAAAAACAAAACAAAAACAAAAACAGAAACAAAACAACCAACCTGGAGGATGGGGCAGGGAATCTGTTCAGTGTGATTAGGCCATCTGTGTTTCCTATTTGTCTGCTTATTGAAGTCAGGCTTCTACCCTTCCACTGAGATGGGGGACAGGGGCCCTATCCTTTTTATGTTTCAAAGGGATGGCTCCCAGGACCTTAAGGAAAACATTCCTGTATTGTAGAAGATTTGCATCTCAAAAAGGTGGAGAATGAATTTACAATTGCAAATTTTTGAAAATAAATGCTCTATTGTTTTATTAATTTATTCTTTAATTTGGTCTTTGGAATCCAAAAAGATCTTAGTCAAACTTCTTATTTTTATAATGTGTATGGTTTGTGTTAATATTTTTTGAAGGAGTTACATAGAGAAGTCAAATGAATCAGTCAAGGAGTTTAATGAATCATAAAGGATGTCTTGTCCCAGGCATTTTTTTTCAGTGCTGTAACTTAGTCACGTACACTGCCTCTTTGTGTGTATGTGCTGTCTTTGCCCATTTTCTGGTGGAAGTGCTCAAAAGCTTTAAGGTGCTCAAGAAATAAATAAAGGAAACACAGGAAATGAGAAATTGGCTATTTAGATTTAGACATTTGGAATGTTCACATGCAGGCTGTAGCCTCTAGGATTCAAGGGAAAGGAATGTAGACATCAAGGCAAAGATAGGTTGGGGATGGTGACTGGAGAGTCATTGACATGGTGTGGTGAGGGAAGCCTTGCAAAAGAACGGCTTCTACGAATGTGAGCTAACTCCATGTATGTGTGTTGTCATTTTTACTTCTAAATATATTTAAATTGTTCACCAGCAAAATCTCTTGGTGTTTCGTAAGTGTCATTTTTAATCTATGTCTGTATATTTTAGAAAAAGGTCTTTGTGGAAAGTCCAGTATATATTTGTGTACAAGTAATCATTAGTGATCACACGTGAGGACATTTTACAAAGTTTATAGATGAAGAGGAGAGGAGAAATGACTGTCAGTGAGATTTCTAAGGGTTAACTAAAATTATCTGTTCTCTTAATTGACAGAAACTCACCATCTGGAGCTGCCATATTTTCTGTAAAGATTTCTTTCTTTCCTTTTTTTTTTTTTTTGGTGACACTATGAGAGAGAAAATGAGCATATAATTCCTGCTTCGACTGCTAAAGGGAGCAGTCCAGACCTAATTAACTAAGGGGCTTAATGATAGCATTTTAGAATACATGTATACATCAGTCCCTCTCTGTGCCTCTGCTCTTAAAAGCACAGCAGCCAGTCACAGGCAACATGAAGCCTTTGAATAGCAAGTTCTTGATGGTCACTGTAGGACAGACCAAAAAAAGTTTTCCTGAAAACCAATTTGCAAATGAAGATCAATAAGAGAAAAAGTAAAGTCAGAGTTAGAACGGGGCCACTGTTCTTTATTTACTGGCGATCATTTTATAGAATATATTTTGTCTGTCTATGATTATTTTGTACTTAAAGATGATATAGTGTATGCTTCCTATAATAGTTCTATTTTAATGCCTGAATACTACACTAGAATTTCCTATTATTTCTAGATTCTAGCTTTCAATGTTTGTAATGAACTTCATCTTATAGTGTTCACATAATAACCAGACATTCTTTCTGGCAAGGATATAGTTCTA